TTGTTCTGGTGTTTATTTACACAACTTTATTACTGGTCAATTATAAAAATTGACTATTATTTGATATAAAGTTGTTATTATCTTGATGTACATGTTACAATCTATCGCCGATACGTGTTGTTAATCCATTTTTAAATATCTTTTTTTTATAAAATGCTTGTAACTTACATTACATATACACATCAACTTATTTTAAACATTCATTCTAATTTACATAACATGTGTTTATTGTACAAAATCATATAATGTTTGGTTCGTTAAACCAAACACAATTTATTTGTATTATAGACTCGGTATCTTAGTCTGCACGCAGAAATAACATTCAACAACTTCTTTATATCTTTGGTGTTGTCTTTCTTAAAATTTTTGTGTTTGTTCAACAATTGTTTTTGTTTATAATCAATTTGATATACCTATCTAACACTTTTTATTAATTATTTATCAAGACCTCCATTATTTTCAATTGTTAATGTTTTTTATGTTTTTATCACACCTTATTGAAAGATGATACATATGTTAAATGTATAACATATTAAAGTATTAAAGTATAAAAAAGTTTTCATTCTAATATTATTACTTCAAATACCTTTTTATTTCTTATTAGTATTTTAAATCTCATTTAAATAACAAATACTTTTTTCTAATTTTTAACTATTTTATTATTTAACCTCTTTTTTTAATTTCAAAAACGTGTTTGTCTGTCTGTTTATACAATTACTATTTAAAACAATAATTAATTCATCAAACAAAAGATAATTTATTTAAAATTTTATCTTTTCTTAAGGAACTAAACTTGAATAAAACGATAGTTAGTAAAAATTAACTATCGTTCGTATTGAAAAATCATCACAATTTATTATTAAAATTAGTAAAAATAATTATATTTATAGTATATTGCTTATTAATAAAATACTATTAAGAAGCGCAAGAATAACGTACAACTGAAATAAATAAATAAATATACACGTTAGACAAACGTATATATGTAGATGTAGATGTAGATACAATCGTCCTGTTTATTTGTCAAAAAAATCTTTCTAATGATAATGTTATAACTTCTATAAAATAATAATTTAATTAATAAGTAAACTAATGGACAATACTAGTAATTAGAATAGTTTAATTATTAAATATAATAAAAGAGTTGATAATTATTAAGAACTAGATAATTGTTAATAATGGGAAACGACTTGAGCACATTAACAGAGGCGAGTCTTCAACAAATGATTAAAGACACTCAAATGAAGCCGAGCGAGTTACGTCGGGCATTCACACAATTTAAAAGACTAAATAGTATTGACAAAGGGGATGAAGATTGTGATCCCGATGAGGTTGAGGATTTGATGTCAAATCCTGTTACCCGTCGATTGTTTGAATTATTTGACCGGTATGATGGTAACGAGCAAGTCCAATTTGTACAATTTGTCGCTACATTGGTCACACTGTCTGACAAAGGCAAAGAGAACGACAAGATCAAATTTGCATTCAACATCTTCGACGCCGACGAGGATGGGAAAATCAGTAAAGACGAACTTGTCAACGCCATTCAACTCTTTGAATCGTTCCCAGAGCAAACTATAAATAGTGTCGCCGAAGCTAGTATGAAAGAGTCTGACTTGGATGGTGATGGCCTAATTAATTTTGAAGAATTTTCAAAAGTCATCCTCAACAATGCAGCTCTTGGTGGTAAAATTACTATTAACCTCGTCTAATTTTTTATCAGTAAGTTCCTTTTTGTGATTCAATAAATAAAGTGTCTCAAATGTCGTTAAAATTATAGTTTTGTGAATAAAGTTGACCAAGTAATTATCAGAGACCAGATAATTGTCAAAAGGGTGTATTTCCCGTTATTTATCTTGAAAATAACGGGTTTTAAAAAATGAAAAAAAGGAACACCAAAAATGGTAAGAAACTGAAATCTATTTTTATAATAGTTCTTAATTAAAGTTTTAAAACTATTTGTTTTACTTCTTACAATTATTTGGTCTCTGACTATTTTTTTCGTCAAATGTAATGCAAAGTTATAATTAATAATTTGTTGGAAAAACGTAACAAAAAATAAAAAAAGAAAATGAATTATTATTTATTAACTAAAATTATTAATTAAAAAATAAAACACTTTTTAGTATTATTATTAATATTTTTATAATATTTATATAAATTATAACAAATACAAAAATAGTTTGTCGACTTGATTATTGCTAAATATATTTAACATTCTTTCTAATTAAAATATTAATACAATATAGTTTTTATCAATTTTTAATAATTTTAGCTAAATTAATAAAAAACAATTTTTATATTTTTTAGTAATATTTTTAATATAATTATTCTATCAATCATTACAAAATCAATAAAGAACTAATAAAAAAGAAAAATATTTTCCATTTTCTATGAACTTTTTTTTTTAACTTAAAACAATTAATTAACGAAAAGAGTCTAAAAAGTGTAATAATAGCTTTTGAATGCACAGCAATTCAACCTTTTTTGAACATTTTCTTTTGTTTTTATTTCTATTTTATTAATAGTTTGGTTTATTATAACAATACAATCTAATAAGAATATCATCCAACTACCAACACCTAAATATGCCTTCTCTAAAACGACAAATTCAAAAATTCCATTCATTTTTTTATACTCAAAAAAGCTTAAAATGACGTCTCAATCGCCTAAAAAACTTCAACCCCATCATCAATAAAAACAAAAAACTTTCTTCAACGTTTCAACTCAAAAATCAAACTCGACTACTGAATGAAAGTCGTGAAAGTGGTATTTAACATTTTTCTGATTCTATGTGGTGTGTGTTTTGTCGCGCTTTCTGGATATTACATATATGAGATATCTGTTGCTGTCCGTCATGGATCGCAGATCCTCAACATCGTGTTAAACGCATTAGCTGCTTTGATGCAAAACCTTATTTTCATCAACATCTGCCTCGCGTGTGCTTTTTCAGTGCGAAAGATGTTCCTGAATGTTTGCTCTTTCACGTCTTTTAAGAAGACTTTTTGTCGAGTTAAGAAGACTCCACACAGACTCTACCAGTCGTACTGACACTCAGGTTTTCATCATGTCCGCAACATCTTTCGCGATCACAATTTTACAATTCGTTCTTTCTCTCGTGATGAGGTCATCGTGTAACAAAGAAGACTCTAAAGGGTACGCAACCTTCTGTAGCATTTTTATGGACTTTGCTTGGATCGGCCCAGTTATCGCAGACTTCGTCATCAACCTCCTGACTTCCTTTTTCTCACTTCTCAGGTTTGGGTTCTACAACAGCTGGGAGTGGGACTAATTCTGTTTCTGTTTGCTAATTAAGTGATTTCTTCGTATGTACCTGACACTCAAAAACTATTAATGTATAGTTAATTAATTATAATTGATAGCATTTGTTATTCACTTGAAGCATAACGGAAGATGTACACAGAGACACACCAAATCATTTATTAAACATGGAAGTGTTACCAAATAGCTTGTTGAGGACAACCTTCTTTTTAGAGTCTGTGAACTGTGATGGACATTGTGATGATAGAGAAAGAGCATAAAACGCGTTGTCGACTTGCGTTGGTGGTTCGTCCGAGATGAAATTTGCTTGTGACGGTGTGAGGAAGTCATTGTGTTGTTCGTCTTCATCATCGGAGTCTTGTCCAATACATCCAGCTTGCGATGCTATAAATTGGTTTCGTGTTGATACACCAAAGTAGTCTCCGTCTTGTAATAATGTCTTGTCGGAGCGTAGAACATCCTTTTCTTTTTTATAAGACTTAAAAACGGGTTGCGCCCATTCGTCGTCACTTATTTCTTCGTCTTTTGACACGTCGGGAATTTGGGTCATGTTCTTTGGTTGTTTTAAAACACTCAATTCGTGAATTGAAACTTCATTGTCGCAATCAATAGAATCAGTACCATCAGAGATATTGTCCTTCTCAATTTCCATTGATACGGAATTTTTGTCGTCGACGTCTATAATCTCTTGTTGTTCTGTGTTTTCCTTTCTTTGTACTACATTCTCACTCTTTGAAATGTTTAAAAGAAAAACGTCTTGATCACTTTTATCCTGTTGTTTCTCTAAAGGTTGTGTTGTACCAACGACATCGTTGGTGTCAAATGTATCGAGTAATTCAAGAAGAGACTGACTCAGTTCGTCGTCGTTTGTTTCAGGTACAATTTCCATATTTTTCTCTTCATCACTTTTGAGTTGAATTTTCCTTGCAATTGTTGTTTGAATTTTTGGGACGTGTTGTGTTATTACTTTCACTGTTGGCGGTTGTGGGAGTCGGGGTTTCAGACAAGAACCCAAATTTTCTTTGGCTGGAGATGATTCGGCAGACACTATTGACCGTCTTCGCCACTTTCCATCTTCTTTGATCATTGCTCTTCTGTGATGAGTCTCTGTGATTGACGTTACAAAGTCTTCGTCTTTTTCTATTAGTGGTACTAAGTGGCGGCGTCTCATTCTTTTTTATTATGTTCTTCACTTTTTTCCTTATTGTCGTGATATAATAAATTTTCTTTCATTCGATTGGCTCTTTGATTTAACAAAACGGGGTTTCCTCAATAATTGAGTTTTATTTTTTCTTCACTTTTTGGAAAAGAAAAAAAAAGGGTTGACAAAGTAAAATTGTACTATAATAAATGGTTTATTAAATAATTAATGAAATAATTTGACTTTTTTATTATTTTTAAGAATTCCTCAAATATATGTTTTAAAATAGAAAACTGGTTTTTTAAATTTGTTATTTATGATGATTGTTATTTTTTTTTCTCAAAGAAAAAAAAAATTTGGTGGTTAAAATTTATTTAAAACAAAATAAACTAAACAAAAATTAAATTATTTTTGTTATTAATAAAAAAATATTATTAATTTAATAACAATAGTTTTAATTAATAAGATTAATGATAATATTATTAATTCAAATTTTAGTTTAAGTTAGTTATTTTTCTTAGCATTTTTATTATTAATTTATTCGAATATAATTTTTGGAAAATTTAATTAAAACTATGGTTATAATTATTTTTATTAATTAAAAATGCAATTACAGTCAAAGGTATCTATTTGTCGTAAATCCAGCAGAAAAAATTATCTATTTGTGGTAAATGAGTGAATTTTGTAGAAAATTCTTTTTAATATTGAAATTTATTTTTTATAAAAAATTTGGTTTTTAATTCAACAAAAGTTACAGATTCGAGAACAAAATATTTAATTGTCGTACACCAAAATGATTGGCCAATTGTGCGACAATTAAGCAACTTCGACAATTATAATTACGACAAATAGACGCATTTGGCTGTATAATATGGAAAACTAAAAAAAGAAATGAATTTTATTTTGTGTTGCTAAATTCAGCAAAAATAAATAAGCAATTTTGAATTCAAAACAAAAAGTATGCATTTTAAAAGCCACCTAATAAATTCTACATAAAAAGCAATAAGTCATTAAACATAATTAACGAAAAGTGGGAAGTTCAATCATGCAAGAACTACAAAACCAATTTCCTTATTTTACTCAAACATTTTAGTAGAAAAAAATAAAAAACAAAAAATAGAAAATGACTTATTGATAAAAAACGAATTTAATTCGACAAATATTTATCGCAAAAATAATAAAAAAATATCATAATAAATATTAAAATATAGATTATTTTATGATAAGTTGTAGCAGCGAGTTAAGACACACATCTGAGCTATTCATAACAAACGTGTTCCGTGTTTTAACCATATTGTGTATATACTTATTGACTTCTTTCCCAACTTCTTTGATACTTTCAATGTTAAATATCTTCTTACCTTTGTAGAAAATAGCGTTCACGGTCTCTGCCTTTTCTGTATTGTGTTTTCCAGGTGACCATTTGACTGAGAATTGAAACCCAAGTTCCAATAGGATATCACCCAGAAAATGAAGCGCTTCGACAAATTTAAAGTTTTCAAACCTTTGTAGAGCCTCTTTGTCATTGATCCCATTTTTTCTTTCTCGTTCCATCTTTTCAACACACCTTTCTTCGTTAAATTCTGAGACTTTTATAACATCATTTTTTCCAAAAGTTATTTGTTTGACGTTTAAAAATTGAAGCGTCGCTATACTCCGTTTTATTGGCTTGTTCAACTCGACAGATGCATATTTGCTAATGATTAATAGAAAGACAGATTGTTGGCATACTTGATAATTTCTATAATTTTTATATTTCTCACTTTTTCCTGGTCCTCTGGTTGTGATCCTGAGGTGCTTCTTATCCATATTATGGCAAAGCATTAATTATACAGTTTTCTAAAACACTATATACCTGTAAAACGAATAATCATGGAAGGGTTCCCCGAGTTGTATCTCAATCATTGTTTATTTTTAGAAAACGTTGTTTAATATGTTTATAGAATTGTGTTTACAAAACATGAAATAAAGGCTATTTTATTTTTTTCTGTAAACAGTAATTCAATTTTGAATTGTATCAATGTATATATCCCGTTCTGTTAGTAGTTAAACACTTAATAAAAAACCTTCGTTTTCTTTACTGATAAATATGTTATTTATGGAATAAAACGGATATTGTATAATTAAACATCAAATCTTATAATTGTTTTTAAAGAAACATTAATATTTGACATGTTTGAGATCCAATAAATCAAAAGTAACCGAAAAACGATCACATATATATAGAATTTAGAAAATTACGATTACTTGAAATTTTTCCAAATTTTTTTCATACCCATTTTTAAAAGTAATTACAATCATTGGCATAAAAAGTACAAAAAAGAAAAACACTCAATAGTTTTCACAAACGTTTAATCACAAAAATAATGCTGGTTGCTAAAATTAATTTTGTTATTTGGGTTTAACATGTTGTACATTTGTCAGCTGTTCATGTCAAACTTAACACTTTTATTGAATGTGACAACAAAGGCATATATCTTAAGTATAATCATATATCAGATCGTATTTGATTTTACCACACTTTAGATTCTACTTTGTTTGATTGTTTAAAAAATACTTTTTGTTGTTCAGTTAATGATTATTATATTAAAACTTAATAGCTTATATATGGTAAAGATCAGTCAATAAAATAAATGAAATTTGCTTATTTGGTCTGAAATTGGAACTGACCATTTTAAGTTGTTAACAAAAGTTATTGACCAGATAGTTAAAAAAAATCGAATAATTAATTCGTAAATTATGGATTGATAATTATTTGTATTTTCCACAAAAAAAAACATTTAAAGAATAAAAAACAAAAGTTGTAAATCAACTAAAATGATATTAGTAATAATATTTACCATATAAAAGTATAATATATATTATATTATTATTTAACTAATAATAATATTATAATAAAATGATATTATTTATTTTTTTAATATCTTGAAAATGAAGATTTAACAATTTATTCAAGTTAAATATCAAATGGTTATTTTTACTAATTAAAAACCTATTCATAAACAAAAGATTATATAGTTATAAATATTAATAAAAAACTAAATATTATCAGTAAAATACAAGAGAGAAAATACATAAAAATACATCAGAACTGAAAAAAAAAGAAGTTTTCAATGTCAAGTTCGCAACCTACTCGTATTTCATTAAGCACGCGCTCATCTGATTTAGTTGGGTGTGAGATAGACCCTCTTCAAACTGTTTGTGTTTTTTCAGCATTGTATTTGTATTTATAAATATAACTATAATAAAACCATAATAATAAAATGCTAACGACCAGTTACTTTTGAACTTAACAAACGATATTCCAACGGGTGTGATTAAACACTTTTGCTCCCAGATGTCAACTCCCGAAGAGTTGTTTTCGAACATCTCAATGGTTGTAGGGTATTATGTACAAGAAGGGTATATCAAGCAGTTTTTGCGCTATTTAATAGTCCGAGAGATAGAAGACAACTTCCGCATGCCACAAACCATATTTAAAAAGAACACGACATACAGTCGAGTCATTAAAGTGATATTAGACCATGAATTAGAGCAGTTTTTAAATAAGTGCCAAGATATGGTTTGTGACTTTGTGAAGGAATTTGGTGCTGAGATCAACATCACAGCCAAAAACCCGATGCTTGAAAAGTCTTTAGAGAAGGTAAAGGACATCATCTACAAATTGATGGAGCTTTTTATTACGTTCAAATTCTCACCAACGTTTTTGTATTTCATGTCTCGTGCTCTTGTCGAACTCCATAGTCGTACTCCTATGGTCGAAGTGAGCGCACTGAGAGCACTTGTCTTTGTTAAACTCATAGGCCCAGCTCTTGTGTCGGGACTTGAAACAAAGAGCGAAGTTGAGTGTAATTCCCTTAGAACGGTTAACACAGTCGTTCAGTGGTTTGCCGACCCACAAGATGAAAGCTCTGGAAACGACTCCGAGAAGTGGAAAACCTACTTGAAAGACTTTGCGACAGATAAGAGGCAAAGTGTGGACTCTCGTATTCTTCAGTTCAAAAATGCAGATGCGGAGAATGCGGATATCACACTCGAGTGGATAGATAAAGAACAAGTAAAGCAATTGTTGCCACGAATGCAAGTTGAGTGGAGAAATATCGTCCAATTTGTGACTCGAGAGTCGGGTGTGTTGCTTCAATTGCACTTCTCCTCTGAAATGGAAACAACTCGAATATACACACGCCTCATCTCAGAGTTGGAGTCTTTGTCGAGCAACACAAAGAAAGACAAAAGTGACTTATTGTTGAAAATGACGTCGATGAAAATGGAAATCAAGGACTTGGAAGAAGAAATCAAGTATCTCCGAGAACTTCTTGCTTCTAGAGATCCTTCACTTGCATATCTGAAAAACGATGAAAATTGAGCATTTTTCATACTTTATTATTATTATAGTATTATTATTTATAGTATTATAGTAATAATAATATTATATTATTATAGTAATAGTATTGTTATATTATTATTATCAAATTAACACTCTAAAACAGTCAGAGTCAATCAAAATAGTCTTACATTACTTCAAAAAACTTTGGTGTTTCTTTGGCTTCTTTTCGACGTACGCCTTTTTAACTTTACTGTTAGTTTCATTCTTTTCTTTCTCTTTCAGGTTGGAATCTTCCTTTTTAGTAACATCACGTTTGGGCATGCCTGGCACATTCGATTGATAATTGTGCTTCTTTATTAATAAGTTAGCAGCCTTCTCTTGATCAATTTTGTCAAAATCACTTTTCCCTTCGATTGCTAGTCGCTCTTTGGCAGAGTCTAACATCCACCGCGTATTCTTTGCATCAACAGCACTTGTTGTTGTCACTTCGGCATTAACTTGTGCGAGTGCAGCATCTCTGACATAATACGGAATATTAAACTCCAAATCCATCACACAACACTGACACAAATTCTTTGTCTTTGCACAGTCTAAGCAGATCTCAGTCTTTTTCTGCCTATTTGAATCGGCCATATGCCATCGATAAACATCAAACGGGCGTTCACATAACTTACACGCAGCTCCCTTCCGACACCGAACCATTTTTATGTATTTCTCTTTTGGAAGGCAGTCATTGCATATCATGGGATACTCCGTTCGACTCATTCCTTTGTAATTTTCCAGTTTACACCATTTCTATGAAAAACATGTTAAAGTAAATTTAACCATAAATTAATAATATAATAAAACTATTAAAAAGATACCTTCAAATAGTCAGTTCACTCAACAAAGGCATTGATTGCATAGTATTTCCTCAACAAAAAGTTCTTGTCTTTCACTTCATCAGTTTCTTCACTGTTTGTTAAAGTGTCTGAAATATCCAACTTTGTATCTTTCATCCAATTTTTACCAAAAGATGAAATTTTTGATTCAAAATGTATTTTAGAGAGGCGAAAACACGCTTTGAAACAGGCCGAAGGAATTCGATGAATTGACTTGGGTATTGTAACTTCTACTAAATCTTTGTTTTTCGAAAAACATCCAACCCCTAGTGTTCGGATCGTTGTGGGTAAATTGAGTGACGTGAGGCCACAACAATTAAAAAACGCGTACTCGCCAATTTCTCGAACAGACTCTCCAAAAACAATTTGAGAAAGAAATCCAGTGTTTTGTGCATACCCGTCGGATATTTTTACTGCATTCTTTTTAATTTTGACAACTCCATTTTTTATGTTTAATTTTGTCGCAACAACATTGCGACAAAATACACCATTTTTCTTCAATATTTTTTCCATCTTTTCAGTCGCCAGACCATCAAAAACTGAAGGGTATGGCAATATAATTTCTTCTAAAAAGTCCTCGTCAAATGCATTTTCATTGAGATAAAGTCCGTTGTGGATTGTTATTGTTTTTATCATACAAAATGAAAATGCCCTTGAGTCAATAAACGTCACTGTTGTTGGTATTACAATGTTCTGGCAATACAACTGTGAAAAGCAGTTTTCGTGTATTTCGTGGATATTATTTGGAAGAATAAGTTTCATGAAATTGCGAAGAGCAAACGTTGACAACCCCAAGACTGTCACACTCTTTGGTATCGTAAAAATTGTTGTTGCTTGTGCCTCTTCCTCTTTAAGAACCACCCTTGTAAATTGAGTTGTTTTTCCATACTTTTTTTCGAGTTGCAGTTTTGTCGCAAAGCTAATTTCAAAATGAATGCAAACCCTAATTTTGGTTTGAAAAAACGAGGTTTTGTTGTAAAAATGGAATGTTTCAATATGAGGAAACATTGTAAGTTGATGCTTAGTAATAGGAAATGGGTTATAATGAAACATATTAGGAATCTCTTTAAACTTTTGACACACCAAAGTCAACTTGAACATATCATTTACCGAAACGAAGTATTGCGATATAATCATTGCGGAATATCGGTCAAGAACTTTCATCTAACAATCAAGTTCTCTAAAAAAACAATTAGTAACAAGAACTATTAAAAAAATTAAAAAAAACACAAATGAACACACCAACAAAGGAGGATGTGACCATTGCTTCTTTTAAGTATACGACGATAGTTGGTGTTATATTATTTGTGTTTGGGATTTTGTATTGTGACTATCTTATGATCTCGTTATATTTCCAAGCGTTGTTTGTTCTTTCTTTTTAATTCAATTACAAACTAATAGTCTTAATGACATATAGTTTCTGGTCCATTTTTTTCTGTATGGTTCTAAGTTACCCATTTGATTTTGTGCTTGCAGTAATCACCAAAATAGACTCTATAGTGTATCCACGACGATGGTATACCTTTGCTATATTTATCATTCTTGGAATTATCCCATTAATTCAGTTGGTCGTTTCCTCCACCCCGAGTCTATTCACACTCATTCCTATGGTGTTAATTGTCGTGTTTCTTTGTATCAACCGCCGCACGTTGACTTCCCTATTAATCATCATTTTATTAATTGCGTTGTCCTCTGTGTTATCGACAGTGGTGATCAAACAAAGTGTTTATGAAGTCCAAGACTTAATAACAATTCTTTCCAAAAACATCAAACAACTTGATGACAACACTTTTAATATGTATTTAACTAATTTCGAACATACCTACTTTGGCAAATTAATACTGAATACATTAGACTCTTTCAACCTCACAAAGTATCTTCAATTGGAGGTATTAAAAACCACTTTATTAAATGTGTTAAAACAAGTAAGTAGCAATTTCCAGCCAACTTTAATCTTTAACTTAGCGTCGTCAGTGTCCGATAACATCTTTGCTTTATTCATTTTCATATACAGTCTCATGTACTTCTTGATATACAAAGAGGCATTTCTACCAATGTTCTCGTCGTTCCTTCCTTTGGATAAGAAAGTGCTCTCAATCCTCCGGGAACGTGTGATGAACACATCGATTCAGTTGATCACTATGAATTTACTCCTCTTCCTCTTAAATTTCTTTCTCACGTTTTTCACATTCAAATTCGCACTTCTTCCATTTTCAATGATCGCTTCAATTGTATGTGGTTTACTCTCAATAATCCCCGCCGTCTCAAATATGGTCGTCTGGCTTCCAGCTGGAGTGTATTTGTTTTTCCAAGGAAACACAACTGGGATGATATGGTTCATTACAGTGCACGCAGTGACGTATTTCGTGATCGATGGGTTCTTTTACTCGTTCATTCCAGATATTGTGCCATACTTCGTTGGTCTTAGTGTCGTGTTTGGGATTTATGTCTTTGGGACTTTCGGGTGTATCATCGGTCCAATACTCCTTGTAATGACTCTTGCGGTCAAAGACATTTTTGCATTGTACTCCGCAAAATTTAAAACGGAGAAAAAACAGGAAGAGATGGAGAAAGACGCTGTAGCTTCTGCGGAACTATGTGAAAGTAAGGATGAAACATGCGAATGGAGCCACACTAAACAAGACTAAGTCGTCAAGTTTTATTTGTTATTTGTAATAAACCCAAATCAAAAAGTAAATCATAAAAGCGTGCTCGTTATTTCACGTTTCACACACGAACAGTTGTTTTGATCTCTGTCTATTCTGTAAAACTCATTCCCAAAGTCTTTCATCTTTTTGACAAAGTCTTGATCGTGAGTGATCAGAAATATTTGGAACTGTGCAAGCTTCCCATCATCACTCAGTAACTTGACCAATTGGGTAGCCAAATTTGAGCAATGGTCTGCGTCCAAATTGATTGTTGGTTCGTCCAGTGCCAAAACAGCACACTTCGTGCAAAAAGTCTTTGCCAACGCAATTCGAATAATCAAAGACGCGAGCGCTTTTTGCCCCATCGAGCACCTCCCTCGCATATCCATTTCCACATTATCTTTCACCATGACAACTCTGTAGCTAAAGTTTCTTCGTGTTGTCGTTTTCTTTTCTTCAACATCCGCAATAATTTTCACATCTGTGATATCGTTTGCAATGTAAATCCCATCCCACAAATCATGAATTGTGTTGTTGATCTCTTTCATTTTTTCCTCGTGGTATTTTGCCATTGCACTATCCACAGAGACGATGATTTTATTCAAGTCAGATATAACATTTGTCTGACCAATCTTCAAAAACGTCAAATAGTCGTATTCTTGCTCGAGTTTGCCATCATTCCCGATGTTCTTTTTCTTTTCTTCAGCCTTTTTGATCGATTTTTTGATTTCCTCAAGTTGCCCCTCAAACTTCATTCTATCACTCTCATTCTTCTCGCGTTCCTTCTCAATGTTTTTCTTCTTCTTTTCACACTCTCCAATTTTGTTAATCAAATTTTTATCTTCTTCAACTTTGATTTGGCTTTCAATTTGCGCCTTCTGTTCAAACAATCCCGCAAATCTTTTGTCATTTTGGTAATTATTTTTTTGTAACTGTTTTTTCATTATCGCCTCTCTGGAGTTGGTTTCACTAATTTGCAAATCGTCGATGCTTTCGTTCACTTTCTGTCCCTCACTTTCTAAAAGGCTCTTTTCCTGTTTCTTTTCTTCGAAACTCTGCTTCATCTTTTCAATCATTTGTTGGCTTTTTTTGGTACTTTCAACGTCAAAAC